TACTGTATGTACTCATAAGTGGGAGCTAAATAATGTGTACCCATGGACATAGGGAATGGTAGACCTTGGAGACTCAGGAGGGTAGGTGGGGGGGTGATTGGTGAGGGGTATGAAATTACTTAGTGGGTACAACGTACACTATTCAGGTGATAGTTACATGGAAATCCAAGACTTCACCACTATGCAATATATCCATGTAGCAAAACTGCACTTGTATCCCCTAAATTTATGGGGGGAAAAAGTTCACTTCTAAGTGGGAAGTCAGCTTCGGATATGTCTCAATTCAATGTGTGATACAATTGTCCAGTGATGCCATATTTTGAAGGCAATCTCTGTGCACTTGTAATGCCGATGGAGCTCTACTTTAAGATCATGTAGCCACATATCTTCACATCCAGAATTTTGTGTTCTCAAAAACCACAATTTTGGAGCTTCCCAAACTCTTGAAAAGGAATAGAAAATACCATCCTCATTCTGTCATCTTAGGTCAGAACACCATTTCATTGACTTTAAGGAAAGGCAAAAGCAAGTATCATGTATAAAATAGTTTATTACTGTAATAAATAATTTTTTTTTTTTTACAAATATCATTTGTGCTTGTTTAAAAATGTTGAGAAAGGAATATCATCAATGGAGGAGCCCACATGTTCCTCTTAACATTCCCAAGCCACAGACATACAGCAGAGTTCCTGGCAGCATCCTCAGCTGACCACAAAAATAGTATCAGCCCATTTGCACTTTTGTTTATTCATGCTCATTTGGACAAAGTGACAGATGCAAAGGAAAAAACCCAATAAAGGATTTGGCAGACTCAATGGAAAGAGTGTTAATAAAAGGAGAAGCCCCAGAATGACGAACTGCTCATGAGTAGAAGTGTCCTTGTGTCTGTGAAATGTCAGATGTGGACAGTCTCCAACTGATGCGCAAATACAGTGTCTGAATATTAAGAGAATACATTCATTAAGGGGGGGGGTTGCATCCTTCTTAATCGGTTCATATCCTGATACAAGATCTGTGAACTTCTCATTGAACAACGAATGGATCCATTGGATGACTCAGAAGTCACAGGGAGACACTGGCTCTAAGAAAAGTTTAATGGCAGGGAGGGCTCCTGCTGGTCTGGCACCTGCAGGGTATTCAAGTCCAGTTCTAGAGGTTCCAGAAGAAGTCTGATATGCTCACATGAGAATGAAGTTTCATTTGAAACTAACTTAAGCTGCAGACAAATTCACATTGATTCTTTTAAATTGTCAGGAGTGGAAGTGAAAACTTCTCAACATGAACACCTTTGGTGAGAAAATGGTGCTTTCTCTGATGGTTGCAGTTCGTGCTGAGAGGCCAGTGAAGTCGTCTCCTCCAGGTGGAGGGCCCAGGAGCTGGTGAAGGTAATTTTTGTTGAAGCAAGTGAGAAGGCAGGTAGATGGAGCAATACCAATGATTTAGCAACAGAGGAGAGGCTGTCCAGGGGCTCAAGCGTGCCCTCAGTAAGCCTCCTTGGTACACAACACTAGGTGAAGAGGGAGGACGGGGCATTGGCAGCTCCCTCACAGCTGGAGTTCCATTCAAGGGTCTTAAGGCTAAACGTCTTTATTGCAAAACACCGTACGCTCTATTAATGAAATGCACATCGGCAACTTCTCTCTCCACCAGGGCTCCTAAAATTTCCCAGAGTGTACACGTGATAGGGTGGTTAGTGCGACCGGGGAAACGGATCTTCCTCCACCTAGTATTCCTAAAGCATTTGTAGGGTCCCCACATAGACTTGAACAAAAAGTTTGACAGTAGTTTAATACTTCGACCTTCCACCTAAGGGCTTGGAGAAGCAGCTCGGGGTGGTGGCGAAGTGCATTTTCACCCCTTGCCCAGCTATCTCCGCTTTTGAAAGAGGAGGATTCCAGGAGAGGGGCTGATGTCCGGACAACAGCACGTAGGATCTAAGAGGTCGAGGGTGTGACAGGCCCCGGGAATTGGATAACAAGAACTCAAAGCAACAAATGAACTTTCAAAAGTTTGCTAGAAGGCTGCTGAAATGGGCACAGCTTTTTAAACACTTGGACCGTGTTGTAACATTAATGTTGTAGCCTTTAGCACAATGTAGCTTTGCATTAATGCAATTAATTAGTTGCATTAATTGTGCACTAGACCAGAGCTTGATCAAATGACTGCCTCCCTTCCTTTAGCTATTGTGTAATGCCCAGTGGAGGAGCCCTGTGTGGATATATGGGATGGCAACACCCATTGCTGGAGTCAGCACCCTTCACCAAGACCAAACATAGCCTCTCGCTGACCATCTTATTTCTTAGAGCCGACTCTTACCCTCACCCCTCCAGCAGCGGAGGAGAGCACGTTCAACAAGCAGCCAAGTGACAGGCACAGGACCTCCCCACTTCAAAGCAGCCTGTCGGGATATTCTCTGGGAAATGGAGCTTCCCTACGAATGACATTCAAAGTAAAGAGTTTAGCAGAGCTCAAGTAACCAGCACTAATGGACAACGAGGCAATACGTCATGCCCTGTCCCCTCAAAAAGGAGAAAATGTCCCAGACAAATCCATATCTCTCAGCATAATTTTTTTAAAGTTTAAATGTTCTGTCTGAACCTAGTAACTTTTTGTTCCCCTAATCTCTCTCCAGCCACCAGATAACGGTTTCTACTGGAAGGGTCAGGTCAGTAGTACCTAAAGCTCAGAGCCTTCACTTGGGAACCCGAGTAGTGTGCTAGCAAGGACAGGTAGTCAGCACGAAGCAGCCTGCAGCCAAGCACGTCGTAAAGGAGGAAGAGAGAAAGATTTGGCTCACTTAAAAAATGTTTTTTCAGGAAAACCATTATAGCAAAAAAAAAAAAAAAAAAACTCCCTATAATCCTTAAATGGAGAAGAACAAAAGCATACGTAGCCACACTCGTGGTGCTCACTGTTGGAGCACGCGCTGTGGGCCCTGCGACCCTGAGATGAACAAATTCCCATCGCAGGATCTGGGCTTCCAGGCATTAGCCCAATTTGCATTGATCCAGCCGTGCATTCCTGAAGCTGTATTTCCCTCCACATCAAGTCTGGAGTTCAACGCCTCACCAGCATCTTTGCCCTGCAGAGCTGGGAGGAAGTGGCAGAGCCTCTCCACCATGGCCGGCCAGATGCTGGACAGGAGCCTGTCACCAGAGAGCTGGGAGGTCTCCAGAGGTAAGTGCCTGTGCAAATGGGTGATTAGGAGTCCTGCCTTGAAAGTGGTGGGTCCTAAACTTTAGGAGCACGTTGAAGGAACGGCAAACTAAAACGTTAGGGGGCAGGTGGCACTGCAGATTATTTTACAGCCTCTGCCCCAAGGACTAGTTGGCAGCTTCTCAAGTTAAAGAGGCTGAAGGCCCCACAGCTCTCTGCAGAGTCACAAAGTTATCACTGCCTCTCCTATCCTGAGGCTAAATCTAGTCATGTCATAGCCTGGGGAAGCCCCTCTAAGCTACATGTGTGTGAGCAGGGTGTCCGGGGCAGAGTCTCCCCAGGGCTGTCTATGCCAACCCTGTGAGCCAGCAGAGGTCAGCCCTGCCAACGCTGTGGCTGCCGAGCCGTACTGAGAGGGCAGGGGAGGCACGGACCAGAGGCTTTCAGAATGCTGGATATCTTTGGTAGGGCAGAATCACTGGGGTCACCATGTGACACAGGCAAAGGGCAGTGTCCTGGAGGAGTCCCTGCTGTCACCTGTGCTCCTAATCGTGCTTGTCAGTGTTTAGGGTCCTGAAACCTCTTTCTAGGGCATAACCTGAGCTAGTTCCCTTGTGCCTGGAAGAGACCTCTCCTCTTTACTTTCTCAGATGCCACTGAGAGAGGCCCAAGCACACAAATAACCTGACCCAGGTGACTATGAGGCAGTGGGTGTGTCCCCAAGCATCATGGCATATGGACTTGGATGGCCCATAGGTAGCTCCGTGACCATTGCTGTGAGCTGTTGGAACACCTGCTTCATTCTCTTTCCAGCTCCTTAAAGTACAACCATGGCCCTGCGGTCTTTACCTGGTTTCTCTTGAAGTCCTACCGACTTTAGTAGGAAATAGAAAGGTTGGCTTTAAAATAAGGCCGAGCATGGCTCCTGCGTGTCCTATGATGACCCCATGCAGTGGACAAAATACAAACTTCCAAAGGCAATCCCGAGGGGAATCAAAATATAAACATAGCACTTGCTACAATCATTTTTCTGAGGTCATGTGTGTCTACTTTGTTAATAAAGCAATTCTGGGCTCTGACCCTTCCTGCTGACACTCCATACCCTGAGGAATGCCACGGGGACACTTGGGGAGAGGTCAGGAAGGAAAAGGAGCCGGGTGTGAGGCAGTGGTGTGGAGCAGGGCTGGGGCCTCCAGCGCCCCTTCTGTCGGCTCTCGCAGAGGAGCAGGCTTGGACCACAGGCCGGGATCCCAAGGGTGCCTCTCCAAGCTCTGACCTCCCCTCTTTTAAGGAGACCTGAGGATTCTCGGCTGTAAGCATCGATGGGAGGCACCCACTGATGCTTTTTGGCCTTAACCACTCGAGACAGAAAGTTGACGGGCCCTACCCTCAAGTTCCCCTTGTCCCAAATGACGATGTAAGAAAATATAGGTGATGGCAGACACGGGCTATACAAGGACGGGGGATGCTGGGAAGTCCCTGGCCCACTGAAGTCTTTTTGGGGGCGGGGGGGGGTGTCTTGGCAAAGGAGCCCAGCCTGGTATATACACAAGGGGTTCTCGGCAACCTCCCCCCCCCAAATGGCTGCTGCTCTGTTCCGGTACAAATATGGTAGTAAAAAATTAAAAATGAAGGAAAATACCCTTTACGCAGCATGCCCCTTCTTCCAAAATTGTGCAAAGACGGTTCAGACGCAGCTGCCATCTTGCAGGGCAGGGGCATGCCACCTTTCCCGTCTCTTAGGGGCAGATAGAGAGTGCGCCTAAGCCCCATTTTGATTTTCTGTCAGGAAAAGCCTATCTGGGAATTGTTGGTCACATGGGCGTGTGTGCTGGGGTGGTATTGAGGGCAGGGCTGTAAGTTTTTGTCTTTGACTTTTTTTTTTTTTCTTCTTCCAACAGACCTCTCAGCTTGCTCCAAAAATGTCTCTCTCTGATTCTGGGGACTGAGGCCTCGATATTTCAAACAGCTCCTGAGGAGACTGAGAGGACCTTCTGGAAGTTAATATCCTGAGTATCTCTGACAGCTGTTTCTCGATATTGGTCATTTTGGCATTCAGGGCCTTGATGTCCTCCTTCAGCTCGTGCCTCACCTCCAGGACGGTGGCCTGCAGCGTCTGCTCGGGGATGGGGTAGAAAGAATGCTTGACCTCTGCCAGGATGGGGCTGCGGTCCTGGGGACTCCTGGCCTCGCCCACGTTGTCCAGGCGCAAGTCGCTCTTGGTGATGCCGCTGTCACACGAGTCTGTCTTCTTCAGCGTGGCCTCGCCGGATGCCTTTGTCCTCTCAGGGAGTGTCTCCATCGACTCAGCCTTGGACACCTTATTCCAGTCCTCGCCCTTCCCGCAAGCATCTTTGAAGCGGGCCCAGCCTTTGCGCTTGGCACAGTCACCCCCACCTCCCTTGGGGCCCAGGCACTCGGACCCTGGTGCGTGCAGCTTGGCGTGGTCTGGCACTCCAGAGGCGGTGGCCGCCTGGAAGGACACGGGCGTGGCAGGGCTCTCTCGGACAGTGACCACGCTGGCCTTCACGAGGCTGTGGTTGGCTGAGGCGTGTTCTGTGAGGACGTTGCCCTTCTCCACGTCTAGGTCGTCCAGGTCCCGGCCCCCTCTCTCTGCTGCCAGCCTGGCCTCTTTCTGCTGTCGGAACCTTTGGAAGAGTCGCCGGACAGGGTGATCTGGGGGCAAGATCAGGGGGGCTTCATTCTTCCGTTTCATGCGCTCCTCCTCTTCCCGTTTCACATCGCTGATCTTCCGGAAAACGATCTGGAACGAGAAAGAATGACACGGTGTGTTAGCCAGGCACAGCTCTCTCCTTCCAGCCCACAGGCCACCAAAGGTCTGGGGCTTTTCTCATGACTGACTGTCTTACCACTTTGCTGTGCTGGACAATGGTTCCCAGCTTTCTAATAGCAGGGAATTTGTTTTCCCTGTCACCCTCTGCAAGAGGAACAAAGCCTATTCTTGCCCTCCCGGGCCGCCTTTCATCTGACTTTGCGTGCCATTCAGAAATACCTGGTGAGCTTTTCAAAAATCATTTTTCTGACCCTACACCATTAGAATCTCCAGAGGGGAAGAATCTGTAGAATAAAAAGCTCCTGGGTGATTCCAATGCATGCAAGTTTGAGCATCTCTGGTCTAAACCACACTCCAGAACAAGGACTTTCAACTGAGTCCCAAGGCAGGATACAGCTAAGACTGCCATTGCCACCCACCAATCTGGACCCAAAGTGAATGTGGTTGGCTGTGAAGAGTAAAAGCTAGTTGCACGTGGAAGTTGTTCTTGTCCTTGAGGAGCTTACAGCAGAATAGAGGCCTGTAAATTCAAACTCAAGTTTGTCCTGACAATAATCCTCCATACTTTTATCCCCATTTTAGAGACAAAGAAACCAAGGCTCAGAGTGGCTAAATGTCAGATAAGAGGCACTTGTACTCAAGCCATCAATCCGCAGATCCATGACATGTCGTCCACTGATGACAATACTTCATGCAGACAGCAAAACAGACTCATGAATTTGGCTCTAGAGTACAGCAGAGGCCACAGATTACAGGGCTCTCCCAGGGGCCAGCATCATCTCCATCTGGAAAACGTTGTGCCCTGTGTGAGCAGCCCAGACCCTACACCAAGAACTTGCCACACCTGAGTCTTGGGGAGGCACACATGGTGGCATTCCAGGAACATGGACTTTGGTAAGTTTAAGTCCCAGCCACACCACATAACCTTAGCCAGATACCTGAATTTCTGAGTCTGAGTCTCAGCTTCCTCCTTAAAATGTGGGAAGAATCTCTACTTTTCAGACTTGGGCCAGTGCTTTCATGTAAGTCATCTTGTGTTCGCTCTACCCCACTATAGATGCTAAATGAATCCTGCTGTCCTCATCCTGTCGAGGGCCCCAGATGCAGCTGATACATAACTTACCCGATGGCACCACTCAGGAGGTTCTCAGATATGACCAATAAAATGGTCATTTTATAGTACCCAACATCGAGGAGGCTAACAACCATTTAAGGGATGCTAGTGATCTATCAGCAAGTTGTAAATTACTGGCAGACTGGAGCCCACAGCTGTGATCTAACTAACTACTTGGTCAAAACTCCTGTCACTGGATGACTTTACACTCAGGTCACTAACAGGTAAGTGGGTGGTTAAATCTTCAAGCCATGTTACCTGGGTCCCAATAGCTCCACTGAGCAGAATTACTCCCCTCCCTTGCCAGCTGTGACTTTATAACCCCGCCTCCCTGTGGACCCCTCCTCGGTGATGCCCCTGTAGTCCAGCCTGCAGATCCAAACCATGTGACTCAGGAGCATCCTATCCCCTCTGAAGAGGGCCAGAGAAACCCAACTAAAGGCATAACAGAAATGGAGGGATGATGTTAAGTAGAGCGATCAGGATTCTTTTCACCCATTCCCCCAATGCTCTGAATTGCATGACTGGCAGTCTTCCACCTCCATGCTTCTGCATGTGCTCTGTTCTGGGAATGGCCCCTGCTCTCCACTGGGCCTCCAAACCCTCCTCACACCCAGGCATGGCTCAAACAGTGCCTCCTCCTCCAGAAAGTCTTTCCTGATTCCACTGCACTCTAAGTTATCCTCTCACCTCCAAACTCTTAACAGCCCTTTCTGTGCTCAGACCACCGTTCTGCCCTAATTACTCTCTATCTTGTATCCATTTGTAGTAGAGATGCCAATTCTTTCCTCCCCCTATGAAGGGAATAAGGAAGGGAGGTGGGATGGAGACAAGGAATGCAAAAAAGAGGGAGGAGGAGGGAAAAATGGATGAGAATGTGAATGCACCAAAAAGAGATGATGGCCTTTAGAACTCATTGCTGTTCCTGCCCTTTATTTCTGCAGGCTATCTGATTCCTAACAGTAGGAATTGTTTTTACTTGAGCTAGTCTGAGTGGGTTTTATTCCTTATAAGCAACAATTCCTGAACAAGATACCGGCTTATCGCCCCTGAAAGCTCCCTGAGGGCTACCAACAGTACTTTTATGTCACATTTTAAAGTTTACATGTCAACCGCTTTTACAGAAGATTCTACAAGATAGACTGTATGTTAGGACACAAGTCTCAATAAATTTTTAAAAAATCATGTCAAGGCTGGGCACCATGGCTCATGCCTATAATCCTACACTCTGGGAGGATCGTTTGAGCTCAGGAGTTCAAGACTAGCCTGAGTAAGAGCAAGACCACCTCTCTACTAAAAAAATACATACAAAAAATTAGCCAGGCATGGTGTTGCATGCCTGTAGTCCCAACTACTCAGGAGGCAGAAGGATTGCTTAAGCCCAGGATTTTGAAGTTGCCATGAGCTAGGCTGATGCCATGGCACTCTAGCCCATGCAACAGAGTAAGACTGTCTAAAACAAAAAAACCAAAACAAAATCATGTCAAGTATCTTCTCACACCACATCAGAATAAAACTAGAAATCAACATCAAGAGGAACTCTCAAAACAATACAAATACATAGAAGTCAAACAACAACCTCCTGAATGATCTTTCAGTCAATGACAAAATTAAAACAGAAGTTAAAACATTTTTTGAAACAAATGGAAATACAATATGCCAAAACTACTGGGATACAGAAAAAGCAGTGCTAAGAGGTTTATAGCATTAAGTGCCTACATCAAAAGAATAGATCACAACCTAACATCATTGCATCTCAAGGAACCAAACCCAAAGATAGCAGAAGGAAAGAAAGATCAAAGCAGAACTAAATGAAATTGAGACCAAAAAACAATGAAAAGTTGATTCTTTGAAAAGATAAACAAAATTGATAAACCACTAGCTAGACGAACAGAGAAGATCCAAGTAAACACAATGAAAAGGGAGACATAACAACTATATGCAAAAACCTAGAGGAAATTTCCAGAATCAACTCTCCAAGATTGGGGGGAAAAAAACAGAAATCCCAAACAGACCAATAACGAATGAGTACTAAGATTGGATAACTAATAAAACATCTCCCTCTAAAAAAGCCCAGGACCAGATGGATTCATAGCCAAATTCTACCAAACATATGATGAAGAATTGGTGCCAATCCTCCTGAAATTATCCCCAAAAATTGAGGAGGAATCCTACCTTATTCTACAAAGCCAATATCACCAACGCCAGACAAGGACACTACAAAAAAGAAAATTACAGACCAATATCCCTGATGAACATAGATACAAAAATGCTCAACAAAATACTAGCAAACCAAATCCAACAGCACATCAAAAAGATAATACACCATGATCAAGTGGGTTTTATTCCAGGAGTGCAAGGATGGTCCAACATATGCAAATCGATAAGTGTGATCACATAATTAAGGAAAAAAAAAACCAACTGATCATCTCAATAGAGGCAGAAAAAGCATGTGATAAAATCCAGTGTCCCTTCATGATAAAAGCCCTTAACAAACTTGACACAAAAGGAACATACCTCAAAATAATAAAGCCCATATATGACAAACCTAGCCACCATCACACTGGGGAGAAGTTGAAAGCAATTCCCCCAAAGAACTGGAGAAAGACAAGGGTACCCACTTTGACCACTCCTATTCAGTACAGTACTGAAAGTCCTTGTCAGAGCAATCAGGAGAGAGAGAAAGAAAAGGCATCCAAAGTGGAAAAGAGAAAGTAAAATTATCTCTGTTTGCTTATGATGGGATCTTATACCTTAAAAACCTCATAGATCTGATGAATGAGTTTAGTAAAGTTTCAGTATACAAAAATCAACGTACAAACATGAGTAGCATTTCTATATACCAGTAACAATCAAGCTGAAAACCAAATCAAGAATCAATCTCATTTACAGCAGCCACAAAAAAGGTAAAATATCTAGGAATATATTTAATCGAGGAGGTGAAAGACCTCTACAAGGAATAGCTATAAAACACTGATGAAAGAAATTGTAGATGACACAAACAAATGGAAAAGCATCCCATGCTCATGGTTTTGGATATTACCCAAAGCAATCTACAGATTCAATGCAATCCCCTATCAACATGCCGATGTCAGTCATTTTTCACAGAATTAGAAAAAACAATTGTAAAGTTCATATGTAATCAAAAAAGAGCCTGAATAGCCAAGCAATCCTATGTAAAAAGAACAAAACAGAAAGCATCACATTACCTGATCTCAAATTATACCACAAGGCTATATTAACTAAAACAGCATGGTTACTGGTATAAAGATAGACATATAGATCAATGGAACAGAATAGAAAACCCAGAAATAAAGCTATATGTCTACAGCCAACTGATCTTTCACAAAGTCAACAAAAACATACATTGGTGCTGGGAAAATTAGATTGCCATATGCAGAAGAATGAAACTGGATCCCTATCTCTTACTATATACAAAAATCAACTCGAGGAATTAAAAACTTAAATGTAAGACCTGACATTATAAAAATACTAGAAGAAAACCTGAGAAAAACTCTTCTGGACATTGATCTAGGCAAAGAATTCATGACTAAGACCTCAAAACCATAAGCAAAAATAGACATAATGGGACTTTACTTCTTTTGCTGTGCAGAAGCTTTTATCAACAGAGTGAACAGACAACCTACAGAATAGGAAATAATATTTCCAAACTATGTATCTGACGGAGCACTAACATCCAGAATTGACCAGGAACTCAAATGACTTGACAACAAAAAAACCCAAATGACCCCGTTAAAAAGTAGGCAAAGGATCATATTTTAAAAGAAAACATACAGATGTCCGACAAGCTTACGAAAAAATGTTCAAATCACTAATCATCAGAAATGCAAATTAA